GATGTGTAACCAGTGACGGGTCATTCATTCCCAAGTCATTTCCGTTTGCCTCTGCTCATCTGTAAACGGGACTACTATTCTTGCATGCCTGACTCCAAGCTCTTTCCCAGGGGCCTGTGCCCACCTGTGCCAGGAGTTAGGATCAACCTTGGAACAGGCTCTCGCTGCCTGCACCCCCTCTTCCAGCCCCAAACCCCAAATTACCTGCAGATGGTGCTGTCCTGGAGCTTTCCCATCTTGCCCAATGTGCACACAGACCCAACCCCCCCCTTAATGACACCTTGCTGCCTTCTGCTGAGGGAGGGGAGGGGGCTGGCCCAACCAGGCTGCGGTTTCTTTTTCCATTGCGTCAGGCCTCAGGGTCCGGATCCCTGCCCCGCCGCCCGCCCGCACGGGGCTGCCACCAAGGGCCACTCTGATCCCCTGCCTGTCCCAACCTCAGGCACCATGTGCTCCCCATTTCGGGGATCCAGGAACTTCCTGCCAGAGGGTGAGTTGGAGATGGGAGCCCTGCCCCTGGTTGGGGAGGAGTCCACTTCCCGCCCACCATTCATAGAGCTCTGGTTTTCTTCCGCTGGAGCTGGAGCTGACCCAGGTGGAGTTGCAGTGGGCTTCCCTGGACCAGGCCCTCCTGGCTATGCCCTCCACTAGTTAGAGATGGGACGTTAGTGCAGTCATGAAGGCAAGATTCTGGGTACGTGGACAGGTCGGTGACTACCATGAGGGTGTGTCCTCAGAGTGTGGTCATGTGAGCGTAGTTAGGCCTTTTTATTTGTCCGTTTGACTGTGTGTGTGTGTGTGTGTGTGTGTGTGTGTGTGTGTAGAGTGTGTACATGTGACCACATGTGCTACACCAGAAAGTGTGTCTGACCCCTTCCAGGTAGGAACAGAACTCTGGGCTATAGGGGTCCATGCCTAGGATGCATGAAATCCATTGTGGTGGGCCGGTGTTGCAAACAGGAGGTGGATGAGGCCAACATGTCAGTGATGGGGGTGGAGGAAGACTATGAGGGTGTAGATAGGGTGACACCAGAGGAGCTAAGGACTTGGGTTCTGGGTCCTCGTTAAAATGGGGAGTGGGGCCTGTGGTGATATTGTGTTTCCCAAAATATTGTGCGCCCTAATAAATTTATCTGGGGTCAGAGAACAGAACAGCCACTAGATATAGAGGCCAGAAAATGGTGGCTCACACACTTTTAATCCTAGCATTCCAGAGGCAGAGATCTGTCTGGATCTCTGTGAGTTCAAGGCCACGCTGGAAACAGCCAGGCATGGTAACAAGAGACTTTAATCCCAGGAAGTGATGGCAGGAAGCAGAAAGGTATTTAAGGCGTGAGGACGAGGAACTAGAGCCTAGTTAAGCTTTTAGGCTTCTAGCAGCAGTTCAGCTGAGATTCATTCTGGATGAGGACTCAGAGGCTTCCAGTCTGAGGAAACAGGATCAGCTGAGGAATTGGCAAGGTGAGGAAGTTGTGACTTGTTCTGCTTCTCTGATCTTCCAGCATTCACCCCAATAACTGGCTGTGGGTTTGTTCTTATTAATAAGACTTTTTAAGATTCCTGCTACAGGGGCCAGCCTATGGGCACAGGCTTGCCATCCCACCTACTTGGGAGACTGAGGCAGGGGATGGCAAGCTCAAGGCCTGCTGGGCAACAGAGTGAGTTCAAGACCAGCCTGGGTGATTTAGTAAGACCATGCCCTCAAAATTTATTTGTTTGTTTGTTTGGTTTTTGGTTTTCAAGACAAGGTTTCTCTGTGTAGCCCTGGCTGTCTTGGAACACTATAGACCAGGCTGGCCTCAAACTCAGAGATCTACATGCCTCTGCCACCTGGATCTGTCTCAAAATTTTAAAATATGTTAAAAGAAAAAGAGGGGAAAAAAGACTGTGAATGTAGTTCAGTAGAGCATTTAGCTCACATGTAGGGAGCCCCAGTTTTAAGCCCCTATCACTACAAAATATCTACATATATTAATTAATTAAAGGGGCTTGCCCTTGGCTCTCCCGCTCTGCTGCCTCTTGGTCCCAGGCTCCCTGGTCTCGTGGGTTCCCAGGCTGTGCCCACTTGGCCCTGCTATTCCCCAGATGAGAAGACCCACCACTGGGCTTCTCCTGAGCTTTATCCTCTGCTTGTGAGGATGGTGGCCCTGGGCGGTGCCTGGTCAGTTTCCACTTCCTGTTCCTCCATTTCCTGTCTGTAAAGTAGGGTGATGATCCTGCCCATGCCCACCCCAGACAGAACAGGAGCCGTGTGGACACCTTGGATGCCCACTGGCCAGCTGAGGCTTTGCTCTCCATCCCCAGCTGCTTGCACCATGAACATGGCTCCCCAGCCTCTTCTGCAGAAACTGATTTTTACTGACAAGAATAAATCCTGCCGGCAAATGGCAGAGCTGTCCTGATGCTTTGGGAACTGTGACTGTAATGAGGTCCTAGGGACAGCTTGTAGGAGGGGGGAGCTGAGGACTGGCTTCTCTGCTCTCCATGCCCCCTCCCTGCCAGGAGGTCCCTGGGCAGGCAATGCATCCTGTCTGCAGTGTCCCTTAGGAAGCTGGCATTGGGGAGGGACTTCGATCTTTCCTGGGCTGCTGTGGGACAGCTGCTGCTTCCTTAATGTGACAGCTGGCTCAGGCAAAGTGATCACTTGAGAAGACTGGAAGACAAATGTGTTGGTGCATGTAATCCCAGCAGGCAGCAGGCAGAAACAAGGATTATAAACTCAGGGGCAGCCTGGGCTACATAGTGAGATCCTACCTCAAAAAGGGAGGAGAGGGTGATGCCTTAGTGGATGAAGCTCCCACTAGGCTTAACAACCTCCGTTCTTCCCTGGGCTTCTCTCCTTCTAGGAAGGAGGGAACTGACTTACAAGTTGTTCCCTGACCTCCATGTCCACAAGGATGCACACCCACCCATACCCGCACAAAAACAAACAGATAGATATAAAAGTTGTAAAGGGCTAGGAGACGGCCCACGTGCAAGCATGAGGACCAGAGTTCGGTTCCCCAGCAACCGTGTGAATGGCTGACCCGGTGATGTGCACACGCAACCCCAGGGCTGTGGGAGGCAGAGCAGGCAAATCCCTGGAACTCGCTAGCTAGCCAGTCTAGCCAGATAGGCAAGTTCCGGCTTCAACAAGAGACCCAAAATCCAGAGTCTCCAAAATCCAGAGAGGTGGCTCAGTCAGTAAGGGTGCTTGTTCTGTAAGCAGGAGGCTCTGAGGACTTGGGTTTGAAGGCCCAGGATCTGTGTAAAAGGTCAGGCATGACTGTGGGTGCCCATAACCCCAACATCGAGGGGGAGAGACGGGAAGCTTCTCAGGGCTCACTGGACACCCAGCCAAAAAGGTAACCCTGAGTTCATGAGAGGCCTTATCACAAGAGAGTGAGGCAGAGAGATTGAGGAAAGACACCTGGCATCTTGTTCCTGCCTCTGTGCGGCCATTGTTCATGCACCCTAACGTTCATGCACACCTCACACACAGCAAAGTGGAGAGCTATTGAGGAAGACGCCTGTGTCAACCCCTGGCCTTCACAAATGTGCACGCATGTGAATGCACACACACAAAGGGCAAACGAGATGATGCCGACCCTGCTTCTGGATTGCCGTCACTCTCACGATGAAGTCCCGCTGCTCCTAGTGACCTAGGCGTAATACAGTCCCTGTCCTATGTCCTCACTGTGTTTTGGTTGGGGTCTCTGTGGAATATGTGGGGTCTCAAATGTGCTCAGGAGGCTATGGCAGGTCTTGGGATGGGACGGGTACTCAACAAACATAGAGCAAATACATGAGCCTCAGTTTTCTCCCCTGGAAAATGGGATAGTACTATTGTGTACCCCACAAGATTAAGGTAGAAAACAGTGGGGTCCTGCAATGCTCTAAGGCTCAGGGGTATAAGCTCCCTGCTGGGGAAGATACAGTAATTCACTGAGCAGTGAGGGGGCCGAATCTTAGTGAAGCCCTTCGAGGTGTTTGGGAACTAGGCTCATCGTCCATGTTAATGTGTATGCATTTGTGAGATAGTCTCTTCCCCTGGGAATCTCCAAGAACCAAGGTAAGACAGTGTGCTGGCAGATAGGAAACAGGCACGGAGAACTTTAGGCTTGTCTGCAGGGCCAGTGACAAGGGGGTCCCAGAACTACCTCACCTCTTGGAGACAGTCACTCCAGTCCGGCACGTGGACACCTTGTGCTCTGAGGAAAACAGCCACTGACAGCAGTGTGCGCAGCCTCAGTCGAGGTGCACTGGTCCTGAGCAGGGTACCCGAGAGTCTCAGTTCTGTCCTGAAGACCAGGATCAGCACAGACAGGACCAGAGTGGGGTAGGAGGGTGTATTTGTTCACTTATTTGGGCACACACCCTTCATATACGCTCTGAAGCCTTCTGTATTCCAGCCACGAGCTTGGGGTAGAGATATAGGAGGAACGTAACAGGCAGTGAACGAGGTCCATTTTTGAGTAAGTTACCAGAAGTTCACTTCCTTATGGCCAAAGAAAGCAACAAGGAAAACCCAAGCCACCATGCACTCCACGGATGCTAGCCCATGCATTTGCTTAGGAGAAGCCCAGGTTTTCTGGCACAATGCATGCAGGAGACGCATGTCCACTATGATGCCCTGTGATCCTACATGGGCAACACAGGTCTGTGTATATCTCATGGGTAAGGCCTGACCAAGGCAGAGAACAGGCATCAAGGCAAGCTATACCCCTCTTGGGACTCCTCATTCCTTCCAGGTTTCTCGCATTCTCCCTCCCACAAGCCTTTGCCCATGTCTTACACACACATCATCTGCCATCTCACCACCCACTTCTTTCTTTTACTTCGAAACGAAGTCTTGCCCTATAGCCCAGGCTAGCCTTGAACTCAGCCTTCTGCCTCAGCCTCCTGCATGCTGGAATGACAGGCTTGCCCTGGTGTTCCCAGCCTGTAGCCAGATGTTGAAGGTCAATGCTGAGGTCTCCCTGTGATGAGGCAGCCTGTGAAGATTATCTGTCCCCTCCTGATGCTGACTCCTGTCCTCCAGACTGCCAGGAACTGCTGCTGCTGCCGCCAACCCCCATGGCCTACATTCCAGATGGGGGTGCCCCCGCCGCTGGGGCCATCCCCTTGGGCTCTCAGTGCTGTGTGTGTAAAGTGGAACTGTCAGTGAGTGGCCAGAACCTGCTGGACCGGGATGTCACCTCCAAGTCTGACCCTTTCTGTGTCCTGTTTACGGAGGACAACGGCAGGTGGATGGAGGTGAGGCAAGCCACGGTGTCTTGATGGGCCAGGACTGGCTGGGCTGTGGATCCAGGGAATGCTGGGGTCCTGCCCTTGGGATGAGGGCTGGTGGTGGAAGATCACTTAGAAAACTGTCACTTTTTACAATTAAACTTTAAGTGTATTTAAAATATTACTTAAGCCAAGTGTGGTGGTACACACCTGTAATTCCAACACTGAGGCAGGAGGATCACAGGTTTCAAGTCAGTCAGGGCTACATAATAAGTCCTGGTCTCAAAAAAAAAACTAAAATAATACAGAGAGAAATAAAATAATCACTTTAAAATATATTTCTGGCTGGTGTGGTAGTGTGGGGGCACATACCTTTAGTACCAATACAATCAGAGACAGGTGGATTTCTGTGAGTTTCAGACCAAGGAAGGCTACATAACAAGACCCTGTCTCAAAAAAAAAAAAAAACCCTATAAATAGATATAGATTTATAGCTAGACTTCTGTCTGAATTATCACCCACAGATATATAATTATCCTATTTATTATATCCTAATAGTTTATATGGCTATGGCTAGGCGACGCTTCTGTAGTTCTGTGCAGACTCGCTTCCGCAAGGGTCCTTCCTGATTTGTGCCTAACAATCACCCTGCTGGCCAGAGCAAAGAGATGGACTCCTGCCCAGCCATGCTCCTCCCTGCTGTGTGGTCTCAGGTGAACCCCTGTCCCTTTCCCTCCCCTCCGGGGACTAACTTCAGCACTGGGGACTTCTGAGCTGGAAGACTCTGGCCTGAGGCTTGGGAAGGGCTGTGGTTTAGGAAGGTTACCAAGAAACTTGAACTGCTCCTGTTAGCAGCCTTCAAAACCAGCTTTGGTTCCTATTACAAAGCAGGCTATGTTATCAAATTCAGATTAACCTGAGGAAGACAATCTAAAGAACTGTAGACCTGCCTCCCAAGGAGAATCCTAATTACCATTCAATGTCTCATCTTCCAGAGCATTTTACATGCATGTATAGTACCCAAAATATATGTTAGCGTTTTGCTTTATGTAACAGTAGATAACCTAGAACTCCTGGTTCTTCCTCTTCCGCCTGAGTGCTGGGATGACAGGTGAGCGACCACACTGAGTTCCTGTTTGAGCCGGACAATGGCAGACACTCACTGAACAGGCTTCAGTTACAGTCCTCACAGATACTGGCTTCCTGCGATGAAAAATAAGTCTTTTAAAAGAACTGGGATTGTTGACCCATTTACAGAGGGCGAGCGTGGAGCCTGGACTATGGAGGGTTCTGTGTCATCCAGTGTGTTGGTGGTCTCACCAACAGAGGGCGATATGGCACTGGGTCAGCCTAGGAGTCCAAGGTCAGTCCAGGCCTGTAGGCACTCATCCCCTTGGAGATGTCTCCAGAACCCTCCATGCTCCTCAGGGAGTGGTGTCTCCCCAACTCATGACACCCCACAATCTCTGCTACCCCCGGATTGTCCACACAGGCTAAAAATAGTTTAGGTCAAGGCCTCTTCTGTTCCCTGCTGCTCCTGTCCTTGGAAGCCTGGGTGGAAGGAAAAACCAACATAGCCCAGGACTCAAAATAGACTGTCACTCAGGCTCTGTAGTGTGTGTGTTCTGAGGCCAGGAGGTGCTTCCTGCCCAGACTACCGTGTGCCCACAATGCCCAGCCCTGTCCCCACCCAGGCTTTGGTGTCCAAAGCTTGTGGGCATGCTAGACTGCACGAGTCCAGAATTCTGTCCAAGACATGAACACCCCCACCACCCAAGCCCTTGGCCCCACCTGCCTCCGCGACCCGCCTCCTCTCTTAGTAGCGTGTACAGTGTGATCTTTGAGAAAAGGGTTTTTCCAAAGTAAAACGGGAAAGCCGCCTAGTCAAAGGCCTTTGTTTTACAGAGGTAGAAGCAGGCCCAGAAGGGGACAGGAATTTGTCCCCTGTCACTTACCCAGTCTAGGCTGTGGCCTGAGCTCTTACCCTGGTTCCTGGAAATGGCGAGGGTTTGCAGAGTTAAGAATGAGGCTTCTGGAGTCGGGACTGGGCTCCAATCTTGAATCCTGCCTCCCTTTGGCTTAACGTCTCAGAGCTTTGGTGTCGCCGTCTGTGGGCTGGGGCTCGTGGGCTGTGAGCGCTGGTGGGGAGGTGCTCAGTAGGAAGGTTGCCAGCGGCCAGCTAGAGAGGGAACCTGGCCACCCTGACTCTGCCTCCCCTTATCATGTCCCTCCCTCCGCCAGTATGACAGGACAGAGACAGCCATCAACAACCTCAACCCAGCCTTCTCCAAGAAGTTCGTGCTGGATTACCACTTCGAGGAGGTGCAGAAACTCAAGTTCGCCCTGTTTGATCAGGACAAGTCCAGTGCGCAGCTGGATGAGCATGACTTCCTGGGTCAGTTCTCCTGCAGCCTTGGCACGGTGAGCCTGGGGCTCCGGAGTGGAGTGGGGTACACACAGGCCTCGGAGTCAACCTCTGCTCTGGGGGCCAGGCAGCCCTCAGACAGGATTTCCCATCCACCCCATTTCCCTAGCCGATCCTCCTGGCACCCCCCCCCACACACACCTGGCGTGCAGACACCCCAGGAGCCAACAGGCCCCAAAGTGGTGTAGCTCAGTGAGTTTGGGGCCAGTCGGAAAGCTTCTGCAGAAGGGGCAGCCAAACCCAGGGCCAGCCGCCTGCTGCCGCAGAGAAGAGGGTGCAGTGTGATGCAGGGTGCTGCCACCACAGTCCTGGTTCTTACCTATCCCCGAGAGCCCCTGCCCTGGCCTCTGAACTCTCCCCTCTGTCTCTCCCACCCCAGATTGTCTCCAGCAAGAAGATCACTCGGCCTCTGCTGCTGCTGAATGACAAGCCTGCAGGGAAGGGCCTGATCACGGTACCTGCCCCCCCACCCCAGCCCTTCACATCCCTTCTCTGGCTCCGCCGCCCTCCCCCATCAATGGACTGCTTCTCCAGCAGATAATCACCAGCTTTGTTGGGAGTAAAAAGGCCCAACTTACAACTTAGCAACAGGTCTCTTAGCAACGGACGTCTGGCTCTACAGATGATGCACTGGGGGCTGCCTGGCTGGGGGACCGTCAGAGGGCCCTCCACGATGATGAGCGGCTCAGGGCCAGGAGCCTCCTTATCATTGGAGAGAGGGGTGTCCAGAGCCCTCACAGTATCCCCCGCCAATGCTAGCCCCTGTAGCTCCCCCTCCCCAGCTCCCCCGGGAGTGTTTCACCAGCTCCTGATGCATATAACACTGCCTCTCCGTGATTCCAGCAACTGCAATGATTCCCCCTGCACCTTGCAGTGATTCCAGCTGCGTGCAGGTTTTTCCTGTGGATGGGCTCCTTGGTCCTCAGAGGCCTAGAAGGCCGGGCAAACCCCATCTCATGATGAGGGAAGTGAGACCCAGGAGGAGCCAGAGTGTCCCTCCAGATTCTCCCTGCAGCCTGTGATGTGTGCTGAGGGCAGCTCATGCCTGTGTGTGCTCTCGGGCCCCTCACGCCCACCCATGGCTCCCTGCTGCCTGTGGAGTCTTTCCTCCAAGCTGCTTTGCTTCTACACCTCAGCAGTTTCTCTTTTCTCCTCATGCCCCAAGTTCAAGGCAAGCCAGATCCATAGCATGTCTCAAAAAAACCCCAAGATGGTGCCCAGGCTGTTGCTGCAGCCTGAAAGGCACCCCCAACTCTCCCCACCCCTCTCGGAGTTCACCGTCAGCACTCAGGGCAGCTCCCTGGCCCTCAGATGCCAGCAGGGGGACCCCCACTCAGTGTTTGTCCCGGATGTCCGTCCTTGGCTCCACCCTAGGCCTGCGTTCCTTCCTCTGGGAGATGGGACGATAGGCACCATCCTGTAGGTGAAGAACAGGGAGGGAGAAAGGGCCCCAGGGCCTGGGCCTGTGGTGAGGGGCCAGAGGGCTGGCCAGTCTGAAGCGAGACTGTTCTCGGGCAAACCCATCTTAGTTATAGGCAGAACCATGCGTCCCTCTGTGGGGAGAGGCCACAGTGGACTTTGGCGGTTGTGCTGAGGTCTGAGGGCCGTGGCCCTGGGGAAGACATGAATAGATGACATGTGAGGACTCCACCCTCCCCTGGACCTCAGTTTACTCAGCTGCGTGCAGCCGGCTGCTTGGCAGTTAGGTGCTCTCAGGTTGGAGAGAAAGCTTGAGGCCTGTGCTCCCTGAGGAGGCCTGTGCTCCCTGAGGAGGCCTGTGCTCCCTGAGGAGGCCTGTGCTCTCTGGTGTAGAGCCTCTCCCTTGGCCTCATGACCACCTCCCCTGACTAGTCCCCACATTACCCGCCCCTCAGTGTCCTACGGCCCCTGTCCTGAGCCACAGGACTGACTCACTTGCTGAGTCTTCATAACCAGTCTGACCGTGACCCCCTTCTCCAGAAAACGGGAAGCAAGGTGTGGACGTCAAGAGGCTGGGGCAGGCCGGCCCGGCCCTCACTCTCCCCTTTGCCCTGCACCCAGCCCTGAAGAGCTGGGTCCTGGCGGGGTGGGAGAGGGGAGGAACAGACCCCACTCTCAGAGCCTCAACCTTTCAGATCCACTCTCCCCTTTGCCCTGCACCCAGCCCTGGAGAGCTGGGTCCTGGCGGGGTGGGAGAGGGGAGGAGCAGACCCCACCCTCAGAGCCTCAACCTTTCAGATCGCAGCTCAGGAGCTGTCGGATAACCGCGTCATCACGCTGAGCCTGGCCGGCAGGAAGCTGGATAAGAAGGTAAGCCGGGCAGGGAGGCCTTCCATCCACGACAGGTTCTTCCCCAGCCCAGGGCCCTGGGGCCTGCCCTCTCTGGCTGTACCATTTTCATTTCCCACGAGGGACAGCCTAAGCTCTG